GAAGGAAGAAAACGGGTTTCACAAGTTAACTTTCCAGCAAGAAATGAGTCAATTATCCACTTTGGTATTTCGGTCCAACACACACTTCTTACTGATCTTGTGTTTTGAGAATCGAAGGCCTTGACCTCACTTAATTTTATAAATATATAAATGAACTTTTGGAAGTTTTTGATGGAGTGTATATAATAAATAAGTTTTAAAAACTATAGTTACAGTCAGCAATGCATTTTACAGACAATTAATTGGTGTTGGCTTAGTGACCGAACCAAATGGATCATTTACAATCATTAGAAAACTACTCCACTAAAATATGTACAACTAGAAAATCGATTGCCATGTTTTGAATTTAAACAAGGATTAATGATTATTCATTGAACTTGAGGTTCACAACCCTTTTGGGTCAAAAAAGATCATCATTAATCAAAAATTTGGTGAAAGTTAGTAGTTCGTGATTTAGATAGATAGAAATGTCTATACAATCGAATCAAATATGAGAAATTTGATGGAGTTAACACTTTTTAATTTTCATAATTAGTAATTGTTTGGCATTATAGCTTCGTTATGTGTTTTCCACTAAAGAAAGTATTGGCTTCACTATTCTGATATAAGTACAATGTAGATGGAGCTTTGGACTAGGGCTGTGCATAATTTGGTAAATACCGAATTATAGTATCAAACCAAAATTTTGATATTTCGTATTCGATATTTTGGTATTCGTTATGGTATTTGGTTTAATTTTTAAAAAAGAAACATAGTATTAGGTATGGTATTTGGTATTTTAAAATGAAATACTGAAATACCGATATCGTACCGAAATATATATTATATTGCACAATACACACAATATTAATTATAACATAAATATAAAAAGTCTAAAATTTTGCTTTCCTTTATTCTCTAAGTTCATCAAGTAGCTCTATGTAAGTAACAAGACATTTCTAATGATCAAATTTATTTCTTTTTATGTACAATTTTCTCTCTCTGGGTTGATATTTACTGGTTTTGGATAAACCTTTTGTCAACAACCGTTTTTAGTTTTGTGCTTTTGAGTACTTTAATTAAGAATATTACATTCTATGACTCTACGCACAAGTTAGTATTCAAACCGACTAAACCGTAGTTACTGAACCGAATAAATCGAAATCAAAAGGAGAAAAATCGAACCTACCGAATTTAATTAGGTACGGTATTGGTATAGCATTTTAAGAAACCGAATACCGAAAATACCGAACCAAAATGTCTAAATACAATACCGTAAAGACCGACGGACACCACTACTTTGGACTGTGATATACAACTCAACAACAAAATATATGTTAGTTAAAAGTGAACTTAGTCGGGCAAGAAAATAATTATTAGTGAAAATTTGAAAATTGGTTTAGTGGTTCAACTGTTAATTTACATTTTAAAAGTGCACGATTTGATATCGTTAAACTTTTCTCTTTTCTTTTATTCTGGATTCCTCGACCCTGCAAAAGACCTTTAAAAAGATGATTAGGGAGGATAAAATTCTAAATTTTTACTTTTAAGAAGCTTCTCTTAGAAATGCACCAAATTCCATTCTTCATTAGTCAGTATAGTGAGTTGAAGTATGTTATGAGCTTCTATTAGTATCCAGTGGTGCATGTAGCACTCGGACATCTGGTTCATCTGAATCTAGTACTTTCGACACAGAATATAAATTCATATATAAAAGTCCCACTAAAATTGCAACAAGTAGTATGTGATCCATAATTTTAAGGTTGAACTTATAGAACTTAAATCCTAAATTCGCCTTTGTTAGTATCGTTAATGCATGGAAACTTTTAGTTTGAGACCTATCTAATTAAGCTGAAAGAGTTTTTAAAGAATAACAAGTTAAAAATTTGAGCGAAGGGCATATTTTAAAAAAGTGACATAATGACTCAACTTGAAAAAAAAAAAAGAAAAAAAAAAAAAAAAACTCTTTTTATATGAGAGACAATTGTCGAAGGCCAGTCAACTACTTCAAGTCATTAATTTGAATTTGCAAATATTTACTATATATATTATGCCCTTCAATATATGTTCTAGTTAAACTAATGGCTAATTAAACATACATGTAAAGGATTATCAATGAGACCACTTTCAGGCTTTCTGTAAATATTAACCAAACACAATATATAGTAATCCCCACGAATATACATCTTGAATACCAAATCCATTACATGATTCTCTCCTATCGCGTTATCTACAAAGATAAGTATAGCTTCATGAACTTGGAATTGGATACTCTTTTTTGGCTGTGAAATTAGATTTAATTTAGAGATAGCAAATGGAAGTCCCTTTTACTCCCTAAGTCAACTTTGAACTTCTATCATCTCTTCACTAGAAAAAAAAAGGCAGCCTGATACACTAAGCTCCTACTATGCACGGGGACCGGGGAAAGGCCGGATCACAAAGATATATTGCAAGCAGCCTTACCATGCATTTATGCAAAAGGCTATTTGCGAGACTTGAACCCGTGATATCCTGATCACATGACAGCAACTTCAAGGCTCCTCTGAGTGGAAAAAATCATAAATCATTCTAATGTTATCATTAGTCTTACACATCTCAAAAGAATCTTTTCCTTTTTCTTTATTTATGTAATCTAAAACCAAGGAGGTAGTTAAGAATCATTGTCATCATTATATACTCAGTTTCCTCGGCATTCTATTGTCATCGTTTCTTTATTTATTTGATACCTACACATGGGCGGCAAGGACCATATCATAACCCTTTTTATCTTTTCATTAATTAGAAGAACCCAACCTTACACTTTTGACGTGCAAATCCTAACAGGATAACTTAAAATATTTAACCTTTTCCCACCTTCTTAAAATTATTTAAAAGTGTGTGTGTATGTGAGAGAGAGAGTGTTTGGTGCATCCTCTTGAGCATAATTTAAGCAACTTTCGTAGTCACATAAGAAGCCACGTGTAACCGTGTATCCAGTACTTCTCAGTGTTATTAAGACCTTGATATGAGCAGGTTACTGGAAAAGAAAAATAATGTCAGTCGTTTTAATGATAAGAGTAATACTCGTTTCCTATTATATGAGGTAGTTTGACTCGGCACAGAGTTTAAGAAAAAAGAAGAAGACTTTTGAATCTTGCGGTCTTAAAAGCATAAAGGGTAAAAAGTTTGTGGGGCAATGACATTTGTGTGGCTATAAAAGCTTCTCATTAAGGGTAAATGGGTAAAATGAAAGAGTTTAAAGTTGAATTATATATTTCCAAATTTAGAAATGTGTCATTTGTTTTGGAACATACTAAAAAAGAAAGTACCTCATTTAATATGAAATAATTTTTTTGCTATTACATGTGTGTAGTGTACTAAATATTTAGACACAATCTGAAAAAATTTGAGAAGCTAGCCACCACTGATTCACAGCCCTTTTCAGTCTGAAGTTTGGTACAAATACTAGACTGCAATTCAGGTGCAGCAATTCAAACTCTAATTTAAAGTTCTATCGTTGTAATTCGAACTTCAGACCAAAGATTGACTATGGCCAAATTTGCACTAATTTTTCATTTATGGCCATAATTTAATAGCTGCTTTAAAAGTGGCTGCCTGTGCATTTGCCCAGAACTCTTAGGGGTTGTTTGGTTTGAATACGGCTTATGCTGGAATAGATTATGCTGGGATAAGTTATGCTGAGATTAATTATGCTGAAATTAGTTATCTTTGTATTGTTTCTTGTCCATTGTTTGGTATGTAGGGGGGTTCATGATTCGGTTTGGATCGATTTTTCCCTAAAAAGAAACCAAACCAAGTAAGTCGGTTTTTCAAATATTAGAACCAAACCAAACCAATTAAGTCGGTTTTTTCTCGATTCAGTTTATGTCGGGTTTTGTCGGTTTTTCGGTTATTTATCGGTTTTTTCTTAAATATAAGACATACATTACCAAACACATATTCCGGGGACCACATTTTCAGCGTAACACTATCAAATCAATTGCCCTTTGAGAAATCTATTATTTACCAAGATATATTGATGATAATTGAATCAAATAGTGATGAATAATTTAAGGACTCAATTAAAAATATATTATTTTTAACACGAAATGGATTCTTACACTTAAAATAAGAAAACTACCAATCAAATTAGAATGTAAAGGTAAAGAACTATACTAAAAGTGCAAACTATTAACATTTACCATAAACCTTTTGAAACTTTGTATAAAAATATACATATATATAGGTGTAATAATAAATTTGAAATAGCTACTCCGATAGTTCGGTTTGGTTCGATTTTTTTTTTTGTTTTTTTTTTCTGATTAAAACCAAAACCAAACAAAATTTGACCGATTTTTAAAATTCAAAACCAAAACCAAACCAAACCAAAAAGTATCGATTTTTTTCGTCGGTTTGATTCGATTTTTCGATTTTTATGAACACCCATATTGGTATGTTGTATTAAAAATGACAATTACATAATTTCTAAGAAGAAGGTATAAGTTATCCCGGCACTAATTACCCCACCCTCTACAAAGTATAAGTTGTCCCGGTACTAATTTTAATCCCGAGATAACTTATACCAAGTTTGCTAACCATACAAAATATTATTATTTTATACCAGCACTACGTCTACTTATACCTCATGCCAAACGACACCTTAGTGAGTGATCAAACCTTCACTTAAGGGACGTTCACGCAAACGTTATTGCTACAATGGAATTAAAAACGTTGGTATATAAGTAAAATTATCTTCAAAAATATATAGTGAAAAAAATAGGTGTGCAAATTACAAGAAAAGCACACGTAAAAATCTATATTTGCATTCGTTCCTTTCATGTCTGCAAAGAATGCTCCATTTAATAGTGTATAAAGGATGCCAATAAAGGAGACAAACATAACAAACTTTTACTTATTTAAAACACTGTACATAAGATAATAGAAATTTAAGATACATTTCTCTCCACAAAAAAAGGACTCAACTCTGCCTTCTTCACCACCCACCTACCCACCACCACCACCAAACCCCCCCCCCCCCCCTTTTTTTTTTTCCTCTAAGAAAACAAATATAGAAGAAAAATCATTTCCACTCGCCGCAGCACCCTGAATATTCTGGAAATATTGCATTACAACAAATCTCTGATCCTCTACGCGTTAGAGATATCCGGTTCCCTAACGTAAATAGGCCATACTACAAGGGAAGATGATGAAGATGATTTGTTGATGCATTAGGGCTGGCTGTATCATCACAGTAGAGCCGATGTCCAGTTAAATGATCCCCCATTTACGTTTTGCCAATTTAGTATCTTACTATACCACTATGCACATGATATCCGAGTTGGCAATGCAGTCGAATGTTGTACCGTTATGCACCTTGAATTGTGTCCACTCTGTCAATGACATCCAAAGCTTTCATCCGGTCAATGTCAAAGTCGATCCCTGGAACCGAAGACGGTCTCCTGATAGGAAAGGGGTCTTTCCTGGTTTCACTTATAGGTGAATGGCTACTGCTCTTACTTAGCCTGTGGTACTTGCTCAACCTTGTTTTTGCAGTATCAAATTCTTGAGACTTGCTAATCCCTGGAGTTAGTTTTCTCTTGCTTACATCACGAAGCATTTCTTGGTCTTCAACCGTTAACGGGGAAGATGGAGAGCTTGGTTTGTGGGTAGAGAACTGAATCAACTTTTGATTAGGGGGACGGATTGGAGATCTTACTCCACCACTAGCAACAATTCTTGACTGATTGACTAGATGATGGAGCCACACCACTAATTCAAGAATAAATGCTTCTGTTTTCTCCTTATCTGCATGATACAGTGTCTCGATTCGAAGAAGATCAACTTGGTTAGCAGGTTTCCTGTTTATTTCGGACCTACAGATATTTTCTTTTTCAATTAGACAAAGCCAAAAGAAGATCCAATCGAATTAAAAGATAAGTCCACACAGATTTAAGCTCACCCTGTATTTGCCCATTCTCCAACCCATCCGAAGCCATGGTGGGCCCTGAAATTAATTTGGAAAGAGAAAACAGTATTAAGTACGCGGGGAGATGATTAAACCAAAATATTTTAACGTAATGCATAATCACTTTTCGTCTGATGTGTTCCAAATTTCAGGGACAGACTTAAGAAGTTTCAACTTCCTTCCCTATTTGACTTCCAAAGCACCATAAAAGCGAAATGGAATGGCATTTTTATTTTAACCCTGAATCTATGTTGTGTTATATTTTCTTTCTTTAAAGAGATGGAAAGGATAAACATGAACTGTTTTAGGAATTAGGATCGACTTTGGTAAGAGATCAAAGGAGAGGAGGATAAAAATAAACCACCTACTTTTTGCCATACAAGAGTGGGTGGAAAAGGAGGGTAAGACCTCATCCAACCACACTCTTTAGCAGGCCAAACTAGTGCTTGTACTGAAGAGATGTACATATTAGGATACAGATGTCAAATGATACATCTTTATTTTTTGATCGTTTCAAATAATACATCATTATCAAGCCAATAACAAAGTAAGCTACTTTTACCCTTTCATGTCTTTTCCTTTTAAATAGATCGGCCCAGTATATGACATATGTCATCGTTGGAAATCATTTTCTGTCATTAAGTTCCCAAAAAGATATTGAGAATGCTTTTGTCTAGGAAACCATCTTTTCAGTCCATGACACTTGTTCCTATTTGAAAACATTGAGAATCATTTTTATTCAGATGAAATGAAGGAAAACAACTTATGTAATGGACAACAACATTCATTTTCAGTCCATTGACACTTTATTCCTATAGGTAAACATTATTTCCATTCCTACTACTTATAATTATCGCCAAACACTAAAGCCATTCCCAAATTCAACCTTCCACATCCAACAACCACTATTGTATTTCACCAATTTATGCTTAACGAAACAACGAAAATAACTTGGAAAATGATTTTGCCGGGAAAGCATCTTCTAAGAAAAAAAATTACCATCTAAAACATCTTACATCATACCAGCAGTTTTTCCCAGCATCACATAAGGATAACTTTTTATCAGTCTCACGCAGTTTTATTTTGAATGATCACCTCAAGTCATGTAAAATCTGTAGAAAAGGAAAGATTACCTCCTAACAGCATCCCGCGAATACTAGGAGTCCCAAAAAGTATTTTTTTTTATTTTTTTATTAAAGAAGTCCCAAAAAGAATTAGCAGAGCAAAAGTCATATTGGGATTAGAACATAGTAACGATCATGCAACCACAGCCAATGAAGAAGTATTGCCATGGACAGAAGTTTTTACTTGGTAGTGTTGGTTGCCATGGGTACAAGCCACTGCAATGTTTTCTCCATTTCACCTTTGATTTGCAGGACTGTCAACTGCACAAGGAAATTGTTAACAATTCAATTAACTCGAAGGAAGAAACTTGCAAACCCGTCACAAGCAAAATATAGAATTATCCATCATCGCCATTAGAGACAATATAAATCTTATAACCATAAGTACCTCTTCCTTGAGAGAGAATGACAGTAATTTGAAACGTAAAGTTGACTTTATGCTTGGTGGCAACCCTTGGTATAGAGCATCTCTTGTACTTGGGGGAATTGTCCCTGATCGAGTTACCTGATCATAATAGAGATATCTTAGCTAGTAATGCCAATAGGTGATGTGATTGATAAAGAAATTACAAAATATAACTGTGTAACAATCATCTATACATGTTTAATAAGCTAGTCAACTAATGTGGCTATGATTTGAAAATGCCGATCAGTTACGCTTCTGTTAGATTGCAAAACATATAATTCCAGCAGTAGACAGACAGTAATGCACTTAAAATAACAAAAGTTGAGAAACACTTCGAAACAAGGGGATGAAAAGAGGCATCTTTTAACAATAAATACTCACAACATGTTTGCTTTTGTCAAGCTATGAGTATCTTGGCACAAACAATATCATGATGACCACCATAATATTGACCAGATTTCTTGTATCATATTGTGTAATATTCCAATATCTCTGGATATATTCTTTAGCTAACAATGGAATATTTATTAGGAGTATCAAGTAAACTATTTATTATATATATGGCATAGAACTCCTAGATATAGAGTTCTTTCGGTACATTGTAATCCAATCAGCAGCCAAGTCAATGCCGTGTCAGCAATTTCAGCAAACTAGTTAGCAGTCACCATCATGTTATCAGTCCAGTCAGAGATACGTCAGCGCCCAGTCAGCTTTAGACAACATCCATTCAACACAAAATAAAAATAAAAATGACAAAGAACTTGTTACTTGGGCTTTCCAGCATCCTGAGTCCATTCCTGCAGTCAGATTTGTCAAATTCACTACTAAAAGTCAAGTGAAAACCAATTCACTCTTCTTTTCTAATCATAAATGGTAATGGAAAGCAAAAATCAGAACGCACATTTAGGAGATCAGTCAATTGTGGATCTAGTGAAAAATATGACGGAGCCCTAAAATATAGGCTAAGTATTTGTCCATCTTATCACACATACCACTATACCAGTAACCCAAATACATGCCTCAAAAGCTCTTCATTTCTATTTAGGAATCTTAGATCACAGGACTGGTTTTCAACATTTAGTTACCACCCATAAGCACCCTTACTAATGGCACCAGAACCATGGACATAGGAGTCACTAAGTTCTCATTACTCCATCTTTGACTCTTAACTACGTCCTATATGTTCCTGAATGCCCATTTTGCCTTATATTATAGGCGAACTTACTCAATTCCTTGACTGTTCAAGTAGCTTTACTAATCAATGAGCTCTTGTGCAAGATCAGGTTACAAGACGGCCAATTGGATGAAGGGAACGAGTCATGAGGCCTTTATTAGTGGCTGGATGTGGTTCCACCGCATTTACTAGTGGTGAATCCCATCTTCATATCCATGGTCATCTTACTCATCACCATCTCTCGTAACTTCCGCAGAGACTTCCTAATTTTCTGCCATGTAATCAATAGACAGCAAGTTGTATAAACTTGGAAAACAAAAATGTGCTACTTCCCCAAAACAAGATAATGGTAGACTATCTACTGCTTTAGAGCTTGTCCACCAAAATATATATAACCAAGCCAGTTAGTTCTAGTCTTGGCTTCCATTACTGTTTCACTTGATTGATGATTACTCCCACTGCCCTTGAAAACTTGGTTCTGAGTTGTTTTACATACGTAAAAATTTATGAGGATGTTATAATCCAATAGGAGTCCCAATTTATACCTTACAAAGTGACAATACCAAAGAGTACTTTTACAAGTCAATTCAAAGTATCCATATCTTCCCAAGAAAGACTCCATTAGTCATCATCTCATTACACTCCTCGACATTAAAAGGATAGTTGAGCACAAGAACAATCACCTAGTTGGACTACTGACACAATACTACTTCAGTAATTCACTATAATATTCCTCTTCAACTTTAGATAAAACCAGTTCTTGGTGTTAGCTAATCAACTTGTATGGCTTCGTCGGCTCCAAAATATCAAATTCCTTATTCGGTCAATATCCTAATGAACCTCTGTATAAACTTCCGCATAAAGTTTTTGGGAGTAACCTTTTGTGCATGATGTAACTTCAGGAAAGATAAATATCACTGTGATGTCAGTGAAATGTCTTTATGGGTACTCGCAGCTTGCAAAAACTTTAATCTCCCGCGTTATAGTGGTACTTTTGTCTCCGAATATGAACATTCTTTGAGCATCATCATTCATATTTTTATTCTCCACAATTTGACTATTCTCAACCTTCCTCCTTTAATTACTAGTGAGATCCTCATTGATAGTACAGTAGATGACTCAATTACTTCATCGCGCGCATTCCAGTCTCAGTCATGCCTTGCCTCCAATAGATGATCTCACTATCGTTGCTCGAAAATGTTTTCACACCATTCAAAACCCTCACCCCCTATATAACTTCTTAAGTTACCATCTGATGTCTCCATACCAGTATACTTTTGTTTTGTCAATATTTTCTGTTTCTACTCCACGAGCTACCAAGGCATTAGCTAGTCCAGGGTGAAATGTGCAAATTGATTATGCAATGTGTATCTTGCATTCCAGTGCATGGAAACTAGTATAGTTGCTGGCCGGGAAGTCTACATTTGGATGTCAATAGGTATACTTGAGAAATATAGGGATCGATGGACAAATTGACCAACTTAAAGCTCGTATTGTAGTTAAAGCATACCCAAAGTTCATAACTGTGGTGATCTCTTCTTGCTATCTATGAATGCATGAAAACTCGATCTCTTTATTAGGTCTATATCAAAGACACATTTCTCCATAATGAGCTAGAGGAGGAGGTTTCTATGAAGCAATACCTACTTTGTTGCTCTAGGGGAGTCCAGTCTAGTATGTCAACATCAAACAGTCTCCATGAGTTTGTTTGGATGGTTCACTTATGTAGGTCAACATTTTGCAATAGCTCATGTATGTCGGATTGTTTTCTAATGACACTCTATATCATCGGTGTCTCTATCATGTTCATCCGTGGGTTAAGTCATTAATGAAGATTACCAGAAAGGGTGAGACACTAAAATGAGGTTTCTTCATTCACTTCCAAACTAAAGATTTGGGACAACTTAAGTTTCAGCTCTTCTTTGGCGAATGAGACAGTACTTAGATGGCTTGGGGCACTTCGTTTTCAATCGATAAGCAGCAAAATTTATGAAAGCAGGCTTATTTGGTCATGTCTTACCTATTAAAGAAAAAAAACAGGAAACTTCCCAAGATGCAGAATAGCTGGATGTAGACAGTATATCGAATGGAGTCATGGATCTAGCCCGGTATGCATCTGCATACCTAATAATTTCACTAATTCCTCGATCCTCATATTGAAGTCATGTCTTGGATTATTCTTGATACATTGAAGGATATGTACCACTGTATCCTAGCGACTATCACGAGGATCTTGCAAAAAGTGACCGACAAAAATAACAACAAATGAGATATCCGGGCATGTGATGGTTAGATAATTCAGCTTATCGACCAATCTCTTATAATGACCCAAGCATGTTAAGGGCTCTCCTTGTCTTGGAAGTAGTCGACCTTAAAGTCCACGGGTAGAGTGTACATGGTTCGGTTTAGTTGGTTTTTCCTTTAAAAAAACTTCAAGCCAACTATGTCAGTTTGTTAAATCTAACCAAATCAAACCAACATAAAGTCGGTTTCTAGTTTTGATTTTTCCAATTTTTTCGGGGTCTTAGTTTTTTCAAGTTTTTCTCCAATCACGTGAATATTAGGTGTATGTCAATGTGAATTTTCCTAGCATGCACTGAAATTAAAAAAATTGTCCCACCTTGTATGTAGAACTAATGAACTTAATATCTCACTATAAATGTGTCTAGATTAGACTTAATTATGAAATGATACATATTATTTTCTTTTGAAACTGAAAGTATCTAAAAAAGGATATTTCTTCCCACCTCATATATAGGTGAATTAATAAAAGCAAAAACTGAATTTAATGTAACGTTATAAATATATCTAGTTTAGACTTACACATGAAATGATACATATTATTTTTCTTTTGAAACTGAAAGTATCTTAAAAGGGTATTTCTTCCCGCCTTATATATAGGTGAATTAATAAATTTAATATTTCACTATAAATGGTTAAACCCAAATCATTTTTGTCGGCATAAAAACATATGCTATTGCACGTATTCTCCATTTCAAAATTGAAACCGTTGTGGATTTGTCCGAATCCAACGAAACAACCTAATTTCTGCCTATGGTAAAGATTAAATTAGGTTAGTTAAACTTTAAGAATTGCTAAATTAGTTGCTTGCATCTGGTTTTTGCCTTTTTTTTTTTTTTATCTTTACAATAAGTCATGGAGTTAAGTCTTCAATGTTACATATGAGATGCATTTATAATTAGCAAAAAATTTCAGGCCAAAACCCTCAGCATTTTTTTTTTTTACTTATTTTCATTATGAGAAGGGGAGCCTCGGCGTAACTGGTAAAGTTGCTGTCATATGAACAGGAAGTCACAGGTTCAAGCCGTGGAAACAGCCTCTTGCAGAAATGCAGGGTAAGGCTGTGTACGATAGATCATTGTGGTCCGGCCCTTCCCCGGACCCCGCGTATAGCGGGAGCTTAGTGCACCGGGCTGCCCTACTTATTTTCATTTATGAGCTTAAGATAATCAACAAGTTCTTAATCCAGTTCTAAAAACTTTATTTTTACTTTATAGTTATGGGTTGCTGAATTCAAAATACATATACAAACATACATCTTATTTATACATATATAGTCAGTTTGGTTCGTTTTTTATTCGGATTTTTTTTCCTGGGAGGTTCAACACCAAACCAAACTAGATATTGTCGGGTTTTAAGTCAAACCACAAGTCGGTCTTTCATTGGTTTGACTAGGTTTTCCGCTTCAATTTGATTTTTCGGTTTTTCTTGTACCCTTCCATCCACGGGTTAGGTTTGCAAATGCATATTAGGCTAGATGTCCATCCAGTGAAGTAGTTGACCTAAAAATTCATGGGTCAGGTTTAAGAATGCATATTGGGCTAGATCTCATTCAATAGGCAATCCACATTCAAGTGTTATGTTTTGATTAAAGGAAACCTACTATCTCGGGGGAGGTTCTACCTCTTTTATACGTAAGACATTAAGCAATAAGCCTTGCTTTCACAATCCCATGTTTCTCGAGAACTATGCACACCAAACCATCTAAACGAAGTCTCACAGTCTCGCTTCTCAAAAAGGAGAGCCAAGACAAGTCCAAGTCATACGGGATATGACAAGGTCCTATCCTAAATTCCTAATAAGCTAGGGTAGGATTGATCGAACAAGCAACATGTACAAAGCAAATAATATGGTTGCTAGACCAAGACATAAGCTGAGTATACAGCTATAAGCCTGTGACATGTGAGCTTATATAGTTTAAGCAGTTACTCAAGAAATTTTGAAGTTCAGAGAAGTAACACAAATGAAATAAATATCGAGCATCTAAATCAATATGCCTCGAAAGGACCATTAGACATATTGAGATTGATTTTCACTTTATCCGCTAAAAATGCAATCCAACTCTGATGACCAACGTAATATATATGTGTGGTATGTTCGGGATCTATGATCTGTATACTCCAACTTGACAGAGTTACAATATTGACCAGATTCATTGTACTATGTCTTGTAATATTCCAAAGAATTTTATGCATATAATTTATTTTTAGTAGTAAAATGTTTATTTATCATGCTAGGAGTATGAAGTAACTATTTACCAGAGTATATGTGGTCTAGAACTTCTTTATGAGGAGCTTTATACATTGTCAATTCATACAACACAAATTCTCTCATCTCTTCTCTTGTTCTTCACAATAAGAACACCTCCGGCGCTTACAGTGCGCTAGGTTTGTTATGATCAAATTCTAAAAACTCATTTGCACTGTCCCAACTTCTAAAATATGGTGATCACCATACACGTCAATGGAAAATAAATTTCACATCCATTTTGATAATGATTCTCCAACATGAGGCCCTTTGCGGACTACGCACAAGAACCAGAAGTTTTGTGGAGAAAAAAAAAGTGAAACCTGTATATCTATAACACAACAAAGCTTGCAAGTAAGCCCAAGCCCAAATTTCTCCGATGATAGTTTAATGAGATCCTCCAAAATTCTGATAATAGACATAGTCAGATCGTGATCTTAGTTGCACTATCCCAATATCTAATTTACAATAATCACTACCTTCTATAAGTCCAAAGTAATAGAGAAGATATCATTTGTCATAGTGGCATTGCTTCTAATTGCAGTCCAAGTGTCAAGCATCGGAGAATCTCAATACTCAAGATTTTTGTTTAATGGTTACGTCTACAATGGCATTGTCAAAGCTGTTTGGCTAAAACCTTGTAACAGAGTGGAAGATGGAATACTGCAAAGAGAAAGTACGATCTAAACAAGCCTTTGCCTTTAAAATTTGATTCCATGTGATACAATCTCTAACAAACTTAACATCTCAAGGTCCATCTTGTGAGAACTAAGTTAGCTTGTTATCTACCTTCTCATCTTACTAGGGTTCCTGATTAGAGAAGAACATGGAAAAAAGAGGATGGATGCTTCAGTTAAAACCTGGCCAAAATGGAAAACACTTCAATATCCAGACTAGCCAATTGGACAATCAAAAAGATAAAATAGAGGCTCGAATGACATCAGCACTTCTAGACATTTGCTAACATCAGTTAAACCCTTCAAATACTTCTCTTTTTTCTCTTTTTGAGAAATATACCTTCTTTCCGTACTTGGCCACTCAAACAAGATGCTCAAACTGTTCCTACCACTATAGAAGATCAATTTAGTCTGTTATGTAGCTTTCCACTCAACTAAACTGAAAAACTGATTACCCAATTCATTCATTGCTTCAGTTAACTTTCAGCAATTTAGGTGCAATAATAATAGCTTCTGGAACTTAGTTGAGTCTCTAAGTTGGACCTAGCATCTGAGATTTTCTATGCCATTTGCCAACCCAGAGAGAAACAGAACATTATGTTCAGCATAAGCCAAAAAGAAGAAGATACTGACAAATATAACCTCTCTTCCAAGCTTTATTGATTAAATCTGGGAACAGCATGTCGAAGGAGAAACGCGAGGAGGCATAAGTGATAAGACAGGGAAGCAGTAAAGTCAATACCACAGAGGGAACTTTCGCAGATTAGCTTGTACTGATTGAGAGCCTGAGTCAATCCCAATGCCAAGTCGTTCTATATTTTTATTTCTTCTTTTAATTAGAATTCAGAAGGAAGTGAAAAAGAAGAATTCAATTGAAGAAAGGGAAAGAATTTGGAAAAATAACAACAAAGGGAAAGAAAATGATAGAACTAGAAAAGTAATAGGGAATTTCATTTGCCACCCCCCCCCCCCCCC